ATGGGTTGGGGAGGTACTGGGCATAGTGCTGCTTGAATATCCCTACCGTCTTAGACAAATGAATTGTGCATGTGCTGATCAGTACAGCAGCTGCTTTTCGTGATGGCTGGCATCCATGCTTGGTAAGATTTGCTATTACAATATTTTTTTTAAAAGTCCCATATAACTTTCATACAGGATATGGGATTTGACTGTATTAGATGAAGAATCTTGTGTTACATGGGGATGTTTCTCAACCTGAGAGGTATTTGCTTTTCAAACTGCAGGTCTATTGAGCACTGTAAGTGATATAGAGGGCTTAAGACACAAAAGAGGAATCCTTATCTCCTCCTGCTAGGGCTTGTAAATGGGCAACTGTACCCTCCTCATCTTTTCTCTTCCCATCTTAGCTGATTCTGTTCTTCATACTGTGCCTCTTGAGACAGGAATAAAAAGATAGGCATCTATTAATGCTACAGATTTTTTGTTAAGATGCTTGGGTTTCATTCTCAGCCATGATGCTATATTCTGGAGTGACTTCAGGGAATTTACATGAGCTTTCTAAGCTTCCGGTTACCCATCTGTAAAACTAGGATAAGAATCCTGACCAATTTTTTAAGCCAGGTTCAAGATGTTTTACTATCCCTTTTTTTGTGTATGGGATGCTGCCATTAGATAGAGGGACAGAATGGAAAAAATACCTACTTTCAATGCTTAAATCAGCAAAAATTAACATTTAGAGTATAGAATTAACATTTAGAGTATGGAAACTGTGCCTAATGCCATGCAGTAAAATGTTCATGCCTGTCTATCTACGGGCAATTATGTAATTACAGCATGAAGGAGGAGAAGAGGTATGCTTCACCCTTTCAGTAAAATCCCTATTTTATTTCCATAATGGGTATTGTTTATTGAAATACAGTCATTTTAGGAGACCTATGGATATTAAGTCTAGATGCATCTATTACTGCAGATGCCCAACAAGCACATATTTTACAGTATACAAGGCCATACCTGAACACATATGTCTGTGTAGCCAATAGATACCAGTCTGCTTGAGAATTCACGTATAGAACAGCTTAGGTCTGCTCAAAGTAGAAACTTGATTTTTAAACTAGATTTTTCCTCATAAGAAGGTTAACCTGTTATCTGCGCAAAGTTAAGGCAAGTTCTGTAAGTTTTTTAATTCTTTTACTGTAGTTTTTGTTTTGAAACGTATGCACTGCTGATTTTCATGCCCTTACCAATGTGATGTTGCAAAGCCCAAAATGGTCACAGGATTTTACCAGATGGTTATTGTTACGTAATTGAAACACAATGAAAGAGCAATTGTGTATAGCACAAGAAGAATCACACTATATTTTGTTTCCGTGGTTCTAGCTCAAAATATATGAAGCCCTTTGTATTAAAGAAATGCCTTGAGTTAAACTGCATTCACTGTCCTTCATCAGATCGCGTTCTCCAGTCTCACTGTTTTCATGATCTGTTAACAAATTCTGTTTGTTCCAGCATTTATATCTCTCGAATCTAGACTAAACGTTTTGTATTTTAATCTTGCACCGGATGAAGTGGATAAAGAGAATTTGTAACTCATCAAACACATTCTTTAATAAATTTATTCCTCCTGTTTGCGGGTAGGGTGTAATTTGTGAACTATATGGCATTGCTGGTAATAGATCTTTTTTTGTATATATGGAGTATGTAGGACATTTATTGAGAAAGAAATCTCGTTGAAAGTCCCCAGCAGCAATACATCTAATGCTGCCTTCCTGGGAGGATGAAAATGACAAATGAAAAGGTCAGTGTCTGCCATCAAGTAGATGAACTGTAGCTGTAAGTCACCTGGGACAGGAGAGGAATGATCAAGCAGATAGTTACTCAGGTGACTACTTCTGAATAGCGCTTTATGTTATTTCGCAGTCAGGAAGAGTAGAAACCATCCTCTTTGCAACAGAGAATCACGAGTTTGCTTGTTTGTCCTTTGAGAGGCCTGCAATCCTGTGGATAATATTCCCTTATTCTCAGGGAATTCAGTAACTTTTGTGAGGTTGCTTAGTTTTCTGTAGCAACTTTTAGCTACCTGACTATTTACTTCTTTAAAACTGTGTATCCTTCAGATCTTCCTCTTTATCTGTCTTCTTTCTCCACAAATTCCATATTTTCACTCTGTTAGAATCTTTGAGGCGTTGACAACCATTCTGTTTGAAATTTTGAGCTTGGAGGGTTTTTCCTTTCCCTGAATAGTCTAAAAAAACAATTAGTGGAGGTGAAAGATGTCTGCTCATTTCCTAGTCTAGGAGATTGACTTCCTTCTATGAATTGAATTACAGGGCTGTTAAAGAGTTAAAGTTGAATGGGAAGTAAGGAAAGGAGGACAGATTAGAGTTGACTGAATGCGGTGGGGGAAGAAGGATTATATAATAATACATCAAAGCTATATTCAGTAAATGACCGTTAGCCAATCCCCTACCCCTAAAAGTATGTCGTTCTAAGACTTTCTTTAAGCTCAAATTAATTTTAGTTTGGTAATTCTAGTAGGATGCTTAAATGCAAAACTTGTTCAAAATGATTTTAAGAAAGTTTAAGGAAGTCTTTCTGTCAGGTATTTTGTATGCCAAAGCTTTGGGTTTCTGCTGACCAACAGCCTTTTAAAAATGTGTAAATCACAATTTATCAGTTTAAGTGTTGCATTTATTTAACGTTTCAAGTAAGTTTCCGTGGTTCTCCTGATGATACTCCTTTTGTGTGAAAATTAGTATTTTAAACACCAGTTAAAGATAGAACAAATGCTTTGACAGTTACTCTTGACTATGTTTTTTGGAAGAAAGGCCTGAACATTTCCTGCTCTTCAGGGTGGTAGCTTGAATGAGGCTGCAAGGTGGTATCAATGCAGCTGCAAAAATTTTTGCAGCTGTGGTAGGTGAACGCACTGCTGCCACCTCGTGGTTAAAGGAAAAAGTAGCATGAGAAAATAACGGAAGAAAGAATGGCTATAGTGAAAGTGATGGGACCAAGGGTTATCAAGGTGGGAGAAAAGATAAGAAATCCTAACTATGTGGAAACTTAATGAGTCAACTCAATTAAAAGTTAATGGATACTTTATGCTACAGGATGTGCTACATCTCAAGAGAGGTAAATTGCACTCTAGTTTTCATTTTTTACTGCAACTTTTTATTCTCTAATTAGTTTTAAATTGTTTGTATTGACATTACTTTGTGTATTTCCATTTACTGAGTTTTAATAAATAAGAATTTTCACAAAAAGGAATGTACTGACCAAGAAGCAGCTATATAGATCGTTATATAGAGAGAAATTTTTTCAAGGCTTCTGCTTTCTACTTCAAGATTTCACATCAGGGCAGAGAAGGCTCCTGATTGCTATGTAAAGTTGTGAGGAATAAGCTAATCTATTTGAAAGGTGAGTTACAGAGATTTCACTGGGAAAGGTTTTCATGTAAGGTTTTATATAAGATTGCTTAGCTGGGATGAAGTAGGTAAGTTATTTTATTATAACAAAAAAGGAAAAGTAATTTTGCAGTATTCTTCATCTAGGTTTATTTGAAACTTTTCAGGATTTTTAAGGACTTGCAGAAAGAATTATTCTACCAGGAAGTGAGGCTATCCTGTTTTCCTCAATCCAGGAGCTAAAGCTCTCCTTCTCCTGGCCTGGAGGTGTTCTGAAAAAAAAACATAATCAGTTGTGAACATGAAGAGAATAATACCGCTTATTTGCTGTTTGCAACAGTTGTTTTGGAGAATGAAGTATTTCCATTTAAAGTAGCTATAGAGGCTAAGACTGTTGTGACCTGCTGAATCCAATACCCTGCCTCTGAAGGCACCATGTCAGAAAATTCCCGAAGTTGTGGGTTAAATTTTCAGGTCATCAGCTTTACCAGTGAATGCTTGCACCTTTTCTTGTAGAAATGTTGAGGTATGATGAGCTTATTCTGTATCATGACAAAGCTTTAAATTAGCCTATGTTGTGTACGTTTGTAATAGTTCTTGTTGCTCTGTATTCAACTCTTTTCTCTGCAGTTACACATCTGAGCATGTGTTTGACATCTACATGAATTACATAGGTTGTCCAAAACAACCTAGCTTTTATTTCATGTTTGTTTTTATGTGCGTTGGGGAAAAATGTGCATGTTAGGATACTTTGTTTGAGAAGCAGTGAAGCATGCCTCATATTTTAGTTATCATTAGTAATATCATGTATGCTTTATTTCTGCCATCCAGTGGCATATGCCATACATTGACTAAGGACACTTTTTTGTTTTGGAGTTAGACGTTGCATGCACAATGGCATATTTGGAAAAGGTTCAGGAGAACGGTGTTTCAGAAACAACTTAAAAGGCAAAATGAGAAATTCCTGAAAACATCCCCACTTCAAACCTGTGCCTTCTAATCAGGTTGTATAGGATAAATCTGTGAGAAAATGCTGAGCTTTCTGGTCTGAACTGCTCTCCTTGTCTTACTAAGCAACTTGACTAGGCAATAATGAGTGAGTACCGTGAATGTGGTGTCTGTCATTTCCAACTGCAAATCTTGAGAAATCAATAAAATAAATGATTCAATCATTTCTACAGAGTGCAATATGCAATTCTCCTTTATATAAGTCTCAGCTCAAGACACTTTATTTGAGATGTTTGCATGTTTGTTTTCACAGTAAGCGTTACTACGTGTGGCCTGTGGTCAACTGAGTTATGTCCATGGCATATTATTTACATGGTACCAGCTCCTTTTTTAATTTGATTCTAGCGTCAATGCTGATATCTAATACTACTTAAGAAATTAAACAGTTCACAATCGGTTGATAATTTTTTGCAAGGCAAATTGGCATTTAAAGTACTAACTGACATATATGTTTGTAGAAATGAATAAAAAGCAGTGAGTCTGCTAGGATTAGATCTGTTTTATATAAAAATTCATTGTAGAGCTAGATCTAATAAAATTAATGAGTGTAAAAATATAAATGCCCTATGTGAAACTTCAGTGCCATCTTACTTATGCTTTTGTCTCTAGCTCACCTAAAACTTTACAAGGAGGGACCACCAGGTGGGTGGAAAAGTGTAATGTTGTCCGTCTGTGTCTAGTCTTTGGTCTCTTTTATTGTAAAGGCATTCTGTATCTTGCCTTGATAGAATATAAGTGATAAAGGTGAAGCACGCAGTACAGTATGCAATAACTATCAATGTTCAAAACTAAAACTTTATTAAAGACTATTGCATCTGCAGAATAGATGAGGTCCTGTGTCCAGAATTCCACCTTAAATAACTTCAATCTCATTTGCAGCTATACGACTAAAATGAGTAGAACTTAGACTGATTTCTCTGACCTTCAGATTCACTCTACAGTGCTGAGTATGAAATTTTGCAAAGTTAAAAGTTGAAGAATGATTGGAAGAGCATCAAAATAGAGAATGAACGCATTAATTTCTTTTTTCATTTCTTTTGTCTATGAGCGAAATTCAGGTAAATATAACCCATTTTGAGATAAACTAATATGCCTAATAAATGGAATGGTAATAATCTGGCAGTGCTCATTCTAAAACTTTCTGAAACAAAGACCATAGGTTGGGCTGGAAAAATTCTTTCTGAGGTCATGGACTATAGTCTTCCATTGTGAGACATATCTGATATCAAACTGAGGTAACAGCTGCATTTTAGCCAAAAGACAAGGTGAGGTGACTCAAGAAGGGATGAGAAATATTACAGCTACAAACTTTTACTGATTAGAATAAATAGTGCGTGTTTAGACAAGGGAAGCCTTTTGAAAGAAAGAGAGATTTAATTGTGATTTAAGAAGAGAAAGCACAATATTAATGCAATTTATGGAAGTTTATTTCAGATGCAGCCCCTGCTGCCTTTCTGTGTTTTCTTGCTCGTTTATGTATCCCCCTGACAATGGGATACACAGAGCCCAGGTTATCTGTTGGATTTCAAAAGAAGCTTAAGGAACTCATTTTGTACAAACTCTGATGACTTGAAAATTCTTTTTAAGAAACTCTGACTCCCTTGCACGGTATTACTGAATGTATGATAACTGATGAAAACTGAGCTGGAACTCATTTTATTGTAAAAGATGATTTTCTGATAAATTCCTCTTTTTCTGCGATGACCTGTCACTTTTGCAATTGTCTGCCGTAGTAACTGAAATAACTGAATGAGGCATGCTCCAAAGTGAATGAGAACACTTATGTGGAAATGAGGGAAGGAGATATTTTCTGGGGAGTCCTTCTGTGATAGCTGGAGATTTTGTCATATTTTAAGTTCAGATTAACTTGTTTCATTCTTGTGTCATGAAGGAGATTACCCTGCATACTTTTGTTGAATACACTGTTTTTGGACATTGAGTTTGTATAGTCTATAGGGTGCATAAAGTACTCTGAAATTTCTGTTTGCCTTTTGTACTTAAATAAACATTTAAACAAAAGTTTCCTAAAGGCAATGCAGGAGGCGAATTGACTCCTCCTCAAATGATGGAATTCCAGCTTCCTAGTGGAAGCTTTATAAGACTTTCTCTGAGGAACAGGGAGTTTTCTTCATGAGTCCTTCTTTTAGTATAAAATATTGCCTCAGTATCTCCAGCCAGACTTGTCTTTGACTTCTGTTAAGAAACTATCACTATGCTATGTGTTGATGGTCATCATTACCATGTTTATTCATTAAGCAGTTTCTTGCTCTCAAGCTTTTCAAAGAATTACAGCATAGCAAATTGTGTAGTCTATACAAAGTGTCAGTAAGTGGGCTTCTGAACTGTCTGGACTGCCAGGTTCATCTCTCCCTAACGATCCAGTTCCCAGCATTTCCCAGTTCCCTTACTTGAAGTAGGCTCTACCACAGAGGATTCTTTGGTGTGCTGCGGAGGTCCAAGATTCACTTAGATTTTTATAGTTACAGGCCACTCAGATGGTTTGCTGCCTGCCTGGAGGCTGGACAGTTGAGCAAGCTATTTGGTTTGTCCATCTCATAAAAATCTCATATTTTTTTTCCTCCTTTCCAGAGGAACAAATAATTAGACAGCACCTTAGAGTTATTCATGAAACAGCAACAGAAAATCTTTCAACTCATCTCTACCCTAAAAAGCATTAACAAAGCTTAAAGCTGTAAATATAAACAGGCATAGTTTACAGATATTTGAAAGGTATTTTGGAGCTGCATAATTCATTTTTAGTTTAGTTTTATTTTCACACATCTTTAATTACGTTAGGGGAACGGAAAAGAAAATAACTTACTCTTTGCTACGTTTCACCTATACACCAACATACACTGATTCATATTGTAGAATAGAATATTCTTATGGTATTTTTGAGCAAATCTTCCTTACGTGATCATGTATCATATATCACCTTTCTGTTTCGTTTTGATCAAATAGAAATTGAGATTGCTTACAATAAATGTTTCGTAGTTGGGGTTCTGAGGTAAAGGAATTCTGGCCTATGCCATCTCCTGAACACAGGAAACATTATTTACTGATTATATGCATGGGTAGTTCAGATTTTGAAGGTTTTCTTATTTATAACTAAAAAGATTAGATATTGTATCACTTTGGGGTTCTGTGTGTTTTAAAGGAGCCACAGCAAACTAAACCCTCAGTTCAATATTCTTATCACCTCAGTATGCTTGCTTAACTTTCCCTGGAGAAACCATAGATCCAAATATGGCCTACAGAAATCTAAGGTGTGTGGCCTGGAGACCATGATTATCCTGGAACGTCAGGAAAACGCTAAAGCTGAACAGTTGGGGCTATAAATGCTGAGGGACACATTTGTATTCAGATACCAAGGACCTAGTGATACAAGAAGATGCTGCTATTGTATATATCTTTTTTATGATTATTTAAGAAGGTATTTGGAGCAGTCCTATGTCTTACAGTCGTCTTGCAAGATTAGCATTAAGGGCCAAAATTTAAGAAAACACAAGTGCTGTAAAAAATTAGCCCGGTATATTGAATGTATCTTCCTTTGTTTCAGCTCATGTTTGGAATATCAGAAAGCTTCATGAACTGTAAAAATACAATATAGCTTGACAAAATGGAGTGTGAGACAAACCTTGTAAAAATTGTTTCTTTGAAAAATAGAAACACTTAAAACAAAATCTTTGTCAAACATATTAGGAACACCAAACCTACCAGAGGGTTTATAAAGTCCATAAAGACATGAAAGGAGCACTCAGAAAAGATAAAAACATAGCAGGAAAAAAAACCCAAAATATTTGTGACATCTGTATTTATTATGGAAAGATCTTGGACAGGTTCTTATGCTATTATGGGGGACTTGCCTGAGGATATGTCTTAAAATGAGGTATCAATAGGGGAAATTATGGAACACATGGAAAAAAAAAAAAGAAGAATGACACTCACCATGACCTACTAGTAACCACCCAAGAGCTCTAAATGAACTCGTAAGAGCAAACTGCTGAACTTCTAACTGTGGCAGACAACCTCGAGAGACAGCTTTAGTACCTGAGGGTGGCAAATGTAACCCTATTTTTGTCTAAGGTATTTAAGACCTATAGACTTAAAGTCTGCTCAAGGGAAATTATTGGAAACTCTAACAGGGAATTGAATTAGTGGGCATGTGGATGTGACCTGTTACAGAAGTGATAACTGAGATTTGCTAAAGTCATACTTGAGAAACCGATTTGATTTCTTCAAACAATCAACAAGCAAGTGCCTAAAGGAGATGATTGATTTTTAACAGTTTTCTTGAGGACCTCAGCAAGAGCCTCAAGGGATCTGGATCAGGTGGATTGAAAACTAGGTGAACTGCCAGGTTCAGAGGATTGTGATCAGTGGCACAAAGTCCAGGTGGCGGCCAGTCACTAGTGTTGTCCCCCATGGGTCAATACTGGGGCCGATATTATTTAACATCTTCGTTAACAACCTGGATTGTGGGACCAAATGCACCCTCAGCAAGTCTGCAGACAATACAAAATTGGGCGGAGTGGCTGACAGATCAGATAATTGTGGTGCCATTCTGAGGGATTTCCATAGGCTGGAGAAAGGGGCAGAGAGGAACTTCATGAAGTTCAACAAAGGGGAGTGCAAAAGACTCCACCTGGGGAAGAATAATCCCATACACCAGTACAGGCTGGGGGTTGACCAGTTGGAGAGCAGCTCTGAGGAAAAGGACCAGGGTGTCCTGATGGACAACAAGTTGAACATGAGCCAGCGATGCGCTCTTCTGGCAAAGGCAGCCAATGGTATCCTTGACTGCATGAGGCAGAGCGTTTCCAGCAGGTCGGAGGAGGTGATCCTTCCCCTCTACTCAGCCCTGGTGAGGCCACCTCTGGAGTGCTGTGTCCAGGTCTGCGCTCCCCAGTATGAGAAAGACATGAACCTGCTGGAGCAAGTCCAGTGAAGGGCTACTGAGATGATTAACGGATGGAGCATCTCTCATCTGAGAAGTAGCTGAGAGAGCTGGGACTCTTTAGCCTGGACAAGAGAAGGCTTGGGAGGGGATCTTACCAGTGTTAATAAATAGCAGATGGGAAGGTGTAAAGAAGACAGATGCAGACTCTTCTCAGTGGGGCCCAGTGAATAGAGGAGAAGCAATGGGCAGAAACTGAAGTTCAATTCAGAAACTACTTCAGTTTTTCAGTGTTTCAATGATTTACATCCCTGTGTGCAGGATACTTTCTTGAGATGGTAACTATCCGGGCACAACTATACCAAATTAAGGTGACTCCAGAAAAAGTGTTCAGGGAATAGGCTCGAGTCATTTTGCTGTATCACACAAAACTAGAGTTGTATCGTGATTTCTTTTTCATGATACTAACTTACACCCTAAGACGAACATTTAGTTGAGGAGAAGGAAAGAGGCACTTTATTGGGTGTCAGCTCCTACCCAGTTGATTAATTTTGGGCTATTTAAAATAACTGATGAGAAATATGCTCGCTGTATTAATTTCATACTATACAATCTAGCTACCTAGTTTACTACTTTTTCTGTCCATTACATATAAGAATCTTTTAGCTATTTCTTTTTTAGTTTAATGCAAGAAAACTGTGGTGGTGGAAAGAAACATAAGAACTTACACTACAGAATGTCCGTTGCATAGCAGACAATGCATTAAATATATGCTGCAGTATGTGTCCGTGTATGGTACGCTGACTTCTATCCAGTAGCCATTATTTTAATCAATGAATTAAGTTTATCAATTCTTACCACTTAGTACTTAGTGCTTTCTAAGTACTTAGTACTTTCTAAGCATATTTTTATTTGGAATAACCAAACCATAAAAGAACTTGTACTCAGAAGCTTTATAACAAAGATTAAGCATAACAATCTCTAGAAATTATTTTGGAGCTTCCAGCTAGGAGAAGTAAGGAAAAACACATGCAATGATAGTACCTTACCAAATACGTTTATCATGAAAAATAAAATATTCTTAGTACTTTCAAGATTCTTTTTAACTGTTTTTATACTGGGTTAACTTTAATCCTTGGGGGATCCCAGCCATTATTTTGTGGCTGCCTGAACACTTATGCCAACGTAAGAGAAGAGGCAACAGAGGGCTGGGAATGAGTAGGCGTGTTGAAGAATGCTGCTTTCAGTGCCGGAGCAGGTTTCTGTTAGAAAAGGTGAACTATGACTCTCTTGCCAGAATCCCAAAGAATGTTAAGCATTGAGTAACCCAAGACAGAAAATAGATCTTTTGTTAAGATAAATCTGTAGATCTGTATACTTCTATTACCCAAAGTAAATGATTGCATTAGAAGCATTTTCTGAGTCTATCTATCATATGACCTTAACAAGCTAAACTTTTAAGGCAGAGTATTCATAAAGTTCATGCCTTGCACGCTGAGTGAGTGCTTTAGCAGTTGGTGTGCAAGAGGAGTCACAACTTGTTCTGGGGACCTGCGACAGCTGTTTTTTCAAGTCCTGTTTAGGTGAATGGATAAACAGAGCCTATGTCCAGAAAGACTGTCAACCAGTCAAAGGAATTAACAGGAGAAAACTTAAAACTGCATAATCATAACCAGTTGTGATTCAGATAGAGCAGTCTAGTTGTTTCCCCATGGTGGAAAGCTCTAAGTAGAACTGTATTATACAGGAAGAGAAAATTTGGGTAGATGCTATTATTAGTTGGAATCACCTAAATTTTTTATTTTGCATCTTTTAAAATATCAATCACTTCCTTTCTGATCTTCTTCTGATCTCTAACCTTTGCGTTAAAAGGTTCATCGTCATACAAATTTCAGGGTGATGACATGGCTATCTTTCCTTTGTTTTTCCTCCAGGTGCTCTCAAGAAAAGGAAAAGGAAAGAAAAAAGCCTCACTACACCTAAGCAATAAAATATCTACTTCTTTGGTGTATGCTTTATGTTGTTTTACTGGTTCTACTGTTTCAGGCAGCATGCAAACCTCTTAGGGTTGCAGAATGTTGTCAGTAAAATTTAAACTCTTTGGACTTTACAGTCCTTGTCTGAACTAGGATCTGATTCTTTTTTAGCTGAGGAAGCAAGAGTCAGGCCAGGAAATATGGAACTGGAAATAGGCCATTGGATGAATTCTGAATTGGAAGCAGATAGAAGTCGGGTTTTAACAGTCTAAGAGGAAACTCTAGTTGCTTGTTTATGAGGGCTATAGCTTCTGGGCCAATGTTTCATAGGAGACAGGCTTTCCTTAAATCATTACACAACCCTTAATGAAAGGTCTTTTCTTTCGTCCTAATCAGATGTAGCCAAAGCATGGATTGAGGGAGACCATAGCATGAGACCCAGGTTCTAGAAGTCTGAAGTCTGTTTGGTAAATCTACACTTCAACATTACAGCCATCACTAAGCCTGTATAATCAGTGTTCAAGGTCGTCTTTGCTTCATTGCTAATTTAAATTTTTCTGGCTTTAAGTTTCAACCTTTGGATCTTGTTATACCTTCCCTTATTAAATTTTTGAGCCATTTAGTACCTGGCATATTTTCCCTTGGAAGGCAGTTTAGTCCCTATAATCAATCTTTGTCTGATAAAATTAAGAGAAAGAATTCTTTAAATTTTTCGCTGTTGGGTACTTTTCCAGATCTTCAATGGTATTCATGACTGCCCTTTTATCCAGTTTGCCTATATATAGTGATTGTATATTTAAAGTTCAGTTTAAGCCATTATATTTAATATATCTTTTTCTTTAGAATGTGTTTGTATTTATGTGCATGCATATGTCATAATATGTTATCAGTTCTACTTTTGTCTGCAAAGCTAAACCTTTAGTGTCCTCTTTGTTTCAGTCTGAGGTATCTTCCCTCCGTTTTCCCCTCTCAGCATGAAAGACTTCTTTGCTTTATCAAACTCTGCTGTCAGTAAAATCTTTGAAAGCCTGGTCACGTGGTTTGAGAAAATAAATGCGAATTACTGTGTTTACATTTTCTTTCCCTGTTACCGTTGTACCGGGTCTTTTATTTGGGAGCCTATGCCTGCATTCTGGATCTGGTAGCATAGTATGCCATGTAGTCTGCTGAAAACCATCACGTTGTTTTCTGATGCTAATGGAAAGCACTTTTTTATTTTTGCAGAGTACCAAGCTGCCATTTTGCATTTAAAGAGGGAACACAAAGAAGAAATTGAAACATTGAAGGTATACTTTTAATGTTTTCTATTTTCTTTTTCTTCTCTGACTTTTGTGCAATTTTCAGGTTTAAGTAGCACAACATACGCTTTCTTAAGAATGTTACCGTTTTGTTCTAAAAGTTGTGTTCAGTTGACTGCCAACTTAAAATCCACAGACGCCCACATACGATGGGAAAAGCAATTTTTTATATTTCCCGTTTGTAATTTTCTTTACTGTTTTACTTGTGCAGCACAGAGGACAAATTCTTCCCTCTAACCCAGCAGTTTAGTACATTTACATTTGCTTATTATATCAAAGCATTGACATTTAACTCATCACTCTTTCTCAGAGAAACATACTTCAGTAGAAGTACTTTTTTCTACAGTGTAAGAGTAAAAGTAATTTTACCTAGAAAAATGAGTATTATGAATACATTTGTGTCCTTGTAAACAATTCTGAAGTCTATTCAGACCCTTCCTTAATATTCTTACTGTTCTGTCACGTCATCTCTACAGCAGGTAGTTAAGGTTACTGATGTACTATGACTAGTGTACTGTGTTCACAAGGGTTTCTTTTGCTTTTCTTTCTTTTTGCTTCTCTGTTGTAGCTGAGAGTCTCTAGGTTGCTTACTAGGACGGGAACATCTTTTGGGAAGAGTCTGTCTTTTTATTACATGTTTATACAGCATGGCCTGTGCTTAAAGTGCTTAAGTCATCTGGGCTAGATCTGATTTTAGGTATGTTAAATAGAAGCCAAATCTCAAGGAAGCTAGATAACTGAGAATACAGTTCTGGCATAATAATGATGACACAAAATGCTTGTCTTGTGCTGGCTTTGGCTTTTTGTTTTTGTGTGTTTTTCTCGTTATCAAGAGAACTGGTCTTCTGTTGAAATATCGGTGTTAACATTCATTGTGTGTGCTAGGATTATCCCTATATTGTTTTAAATTTTCTTCGTCATTCCTTTAAATGCATTATGAGATATATTTCTTACTGACAAAAATTAGCATTATTTTTTTTCCAAAGGTATCTATTAAATAGCTGCAATGCCATCAATAAAAATGTCTCAAAAAATTTACAGAATGGTTCAATCAGCTTAAAATCACATCAAAATCTTGCCATCATAGTAAAGCACGACTATTCCCTCTATTCCATAAGACTGAAATAGTGAGGGAAATAAATGGTTGCAGGATAACAAATGGGTCAGGAGGCATGCTGAGGCTCACAATTCTGTGCTTTTCTGTCCATAGTGGAATTGCTGCGCAACAGTCCTCTGGTTATATCACTCACTCGTCTCTTATAATACCACTTTCATCTATCGTACTAATGTAGCTAATGCTTAGTTACATCTGTTGTGTGATTCCAGCCTTTATTTTCACCATTAAGCAAGATCAATATACTAATACAAGGAGTCTGGTAGTCCAATTTACTGATGCAGTGACCATCGCATATTAGGCAGATTACAAATAGCAATCATGTGATTAGTAAAGTACAATATTTGTATTACATGAAGTGTTTATGTATTTGTGTCTGCAGAAAGACTAAGGCATAATGGACATAAAATCTCTCACATTAAGTAAGCCCAGTGAGTTCTTTGAAAAGGCAGAGGTGGGATGGATGATGGCAGCAATTTGTAGAGTGCAAAGGAGAGGCAAGGGGTCTCTGATGTGTGCAGTGAGCTCAACCTTTTGAAGTAAAAAAGCATATTTTTTTCTAATAAGCTTCTCTTAAAAATTCAGCACAGGGAAAGGCAAGCTAATACTAAAGTAAACATATGATAATAATGTATGATAAGTATAAATAATAATAACTCTTGCAAAGAATAGTGTAACTGTCCCACACAAGAACACTAGATGGAAAAGGGTGGTGGTGGTCATTTACTTTGAAGGGACATTTTGGAAAATACATAGGCTCAGTGAGAGAGAAAATGGATTTGAGAGAGCAGTGACAGTTATTGAAAGCACGTCTCCAGCAACCCTGGAAACAGTAGAAGCAGAGGAGCCAGGTAGTTCATAAAAACATGAAGTTTGCCATGCCTTAATCCCTGGATTATTTTCTCAGCTTCTTTCAGTTTACACATAATTGATATATTCTAGTTGTTTTTCATAATGTGATATTCCCAATTCTGTCTTTCATCAAAAGAATGTTAGTCTCACACATTTTGCTTTCCAACAATTAGTATTTTAAGGGCTTCCTGAAGCAGCGTTTGCACCCAGGTTATGATATATAAATGAATAAATTATAGTATCACATGCGTCCATGACTCATTGAGCTATCTGAATGCTATGCCATCTGAATAGTCTTCTAGATCTTTTTCTGTATGTCCTTGACGATGAATTCCTTGTACTAAGATGTGATCCTTTGTAGATGCATCCTCGTTGCATATACGGTTTTTTTAGACCTTTACTTCTCTAGAACCTGTAAGATGCCATATGAAATTTTCTAAATAGCGCCAGACTATTACTCTAAAAAGCGTTTATGTTGAAAATACTGAATTTCTACATTCTTAATCTGTCCCATGTTAAAAGAAGGTTAATACTAAGTTATTTATTCTGTGAAGAGACTTATTGTAGCATGTTTTTTTTTTATATACTGCGGTGAAATCTGAATTAGTCAAATGCTGCTACCTGGTCATGCTGCTTTAGTAAATCACAGGTTGTTAGTTCGGCTTCTAAGTTTTAGTAAGTTTCTAATTGGCAGTGTGGCATTTTCATCTTTTTTTATGTTTCTTTTTTATTTTAATCAGTTCACTACTAGAGCGTATTTCTCCTGTTTCTCTAATGTTCAAACATTTTAAAGGACAATTCTTTTCTTTCATCTCTGTTATTAGTTTTTATTATTTCATCTTTAATTTCAAAATAATATTTCCTGGGTTTTGTGTTTGATTTCATAGCTGTTGCCTTTCCCTGAAGTTGCTTCAGTCTGTATTTGTTTCAAACTCAAATGTAATAGCAAAGGATTATTCCTTTGTCCATTTTGTTCATTCTTTATGTGACCAGCCTTTGCATTGGTAAAAGTGAAATGCATTAAATAAGGCTAGAAGATGTGGGTACACTCACTTTCTTGTGGCTTTTCGTTATTTGAAGGAATGGAAAGATACATTTTTTTTATCTTTTTAAGATAAAAGTTTTTTTATCTTTTTTTGAGATAAAAGTATGAATGACTACATACTAATACTATACCATTATAAGACTTTATTTTAGAATATAGTAGAAGAAAAATTTTGTCATGGTTTAATGTAATAACTTGTTGCATTTTATTCTTTAAAGGTGTAACAGAAAAATATGCTGGTAGGTAACTGTTGGAAATGTATGAGTTAAATGTGATTTTGCACTATAAAACTGAAAGAACCTAGAGACTGAAATTTGTCTGAACCAGATCTGATCTGAATCTCATATCTAGTATTTAGAGGAAAGTTGCTCATCATTCTTTGTCTATAAGACATTAGGAGTGAGACCCTTATCCCTATTCTTTCCTGTTCCTAAACAGAGAAACGGTAAGGAGCCCTAGAAGGTATATGTAGAGCTGAGGAAAAATTCTTTGAAAGTTATACAAGTGCCTTCTGAAGATTAAAAAAAAAAAAAAAACCAAAACCCTAGCCATCCTGGGAGGAAACTGCAAAGAATAAGAAAGGTTATGGTCTGCAGCAAAGCATTGTAGAGCATCTAGAACAGTTAGTCCTGGGCTGTGTCAGAAGAAAAGGTTGTGCAGAATCTATCCCACGATGTAGTAGCTTATGAACAAGAGGTCTATTTACTCTTTAACAATAGCAAGTGAATTCTTAAGGAGGGAGAAGTACCTATATTTCTATCCTGAATATATTTAACTTAATTTCCAGTTTCTTTTCCAGCTTCTTTTGGAACTTGTATTTTTCCTTGATTATGTGAAGGAAAATCATGGTAGGTTTTTGTTCTTTAAGATTTTTTATTGCTGGGTTTATTTCCTATAATTTTCATATGTCAAGGAATAACGCAGAGTATAACCAGGGAAAAGCTATGGAAATATTTACTTTTTACCCATTTACGTTTAAATTAAGCTCAGCTGTAGTGTTTAAAGTATTTCCTGAATGTTTCACCTATTATTTAAGTAAATTTCATGAAATTTTTTAAGACACTGATAGACCATTTCTATTCTCTGTTATTGAAATGTATTTCCTGCTCATTCCGCTAGATGTCAGCTAAGCCCTCTTTGAGAAAACATTCCCAGACCATGTCACAGCCTCTCTGTGAATGTGTAAAGTTCATTTTTCCTTCTGAACTGTGAGACTATATGAGGTGTTAACAGCCTGTACTAGTATTTGTGGAGCTGACTGAGTCTTGCTTTTAAGTCAGAAATTATGTTGCGCATTATGGAAGTAAAATCTAAGTTGCTCAATAGAGAAGTGGTGGAGGTCGTCATCTTAATAATATTTTTTTCTCTACATAAGCAAACCTACAATATTTAATAACCAATGAAATAAATGACAACTTAATATTTAATCAAAATACTGGAAGTGAACTGGTGAATTCTAAAAGGAAGGAAATAATGTAAAGGCAATATTCCAGTTGCAGCACGTAATAGTTATTTCAAAGCATTTATGTACAATGACACAGTAGCATTTTTAATTCTTTCTATAAGTTTATTCATAAAATGTGTGAAAAAAAATTGAAATTTTGTCTCTAATTTCTTCTTTCTCCCTCTAGCTCAAAGGTTCCAAAAAATCTCCCCCTCTCAGTTGCAGAGAAGTTTAATAGTGCTTTGATAAGATGGAATGACAGTTTAAAGCTCTTCTGTAATTCATGAATCTTTTTCTCTAATACAGTAAATTTTAGAAGGAAGTATCTCTGCTTGCATCTAGTGCAGTTATGAGCATACTACTGAAATCAGAAATAACATATAATAATGTGGTTGGTGTGTAACTGCCTGTGCTGTTACGAAAGAACAAACAGGCCTTATTTAGAGAAGAATGTATCATGGAGTTTTCATAGTGACCTTTCTAGTCTCCGCAGCAATCTTTGCATAAAAGATTCAAGAGAACTGAGAAAAAGT